GTGGAGACCTGGGAGCTGTTAAAGGAACTATGAAGAAGTTTACAGGAGAACTAGTTTGCTCAATGAAGCTGCTATGCTTCAAAGTAAAGAATGCTGGCTATAAAAAAGGTATGTGTGTGCCATTTAAAGTGAGGATACTTGGCATTCCGATATTTTTATTCAGTGGCCCCATATGCTGTAAAAGATGTAATCTCCAACTCTGCCTTGGACTTAAGATTTAAGACTGAACCTCCTCACTAGTTTTCTGAAGTGTCAATCATATATAATGCACTCACTTCCATAAAATGGACTGAGAAAAAGAAACTACAACCATAAATTGTTAATGATCTAATCCAGTGATTCTCAACCTGTGGTTCCCCAGGTGTTTTGGCCTACAACTCCCAGAAATCCCAGCCAGCTTACCAGGTGTTAGGATTTCTGGAAGTTGAAGGTCAAAACATCTGGGGACCCACTGATCAGGGTGTGATTTAATTACAATGTGATAGCACTCTTCCTGTAGGGTGTTTGATTACACTGATAAAAATTCAGTAGTGATTTGAAATTTGAAATAAATAGTCTAATGGCTATTACAACATCAGTACAGCATCAGAAAGAACAATTCAAAGAGCTTTACTGACCAGTTGATCCAGGCTGTTCAGGCATGTCCATTTCACCTGAAACGATGTCCTCTTGAGAAGCATCTCTTATCATGCACCAATCTGTCAGACATTTTTTTTGGCATTTAATGTATTTCTGTTTTCTTGAACTCCAATAAATGTCTTCCCCAATGTTTGTTACCATGCCAATAGTCCAATTTTTTTTTCTGGCCATAGCCAGTTGTGACCTAAAACTGATGTTGGTGAGTAAACAATTCCTTCTGTATAGTGTGCTGCTTCTGATGGATCAACCTCACAAGGACAGAATAGCCAGCAATCTCTGGGAGTAAGTATACTTCTGACAACACAAAATACTATTTGTGTATAGAATTTGGAATCGTGTTATTTCTTTTTACCTCTCTCTGTACACAAGGACATACACTTGGATAATGTTGCTGAAAATAACGTAATCAAAAATACAAAAGCAAGATTTACTGAGCAGATGACTTTTCCACATTTTGACAATCTCCAACCATGTTGTTTCATGGGTAACATTAATAAACATCTATAATTTTTTCAGGGGAATACATTGTACTGCTTAAACAGTGAAGAGGGTATAATATAAGACGGCAAGGGTATGGAACTAAGCAGAATAGAGCAACCTGATACAAGGAAGGATACCAACATCTATGATAACTTGCCACGGCCCTAGAAAAACTCGGTGATTTAGATCAAATAAGCTCAGCCCACCGTGTTCTCCTTTTGAACATAGAATCATAGAGTTGTAAGAGACCTCGCGGACCATCCAGTCCAACCCCCTGCCAAGAAGCAGGAAAATTGCATCCAAAGCACCCCCAACAGATGGCCATCCAGCCTCTGTTTAAAAGCCTCCAAAGAAGGAGCCTCCACCACACTCCAGAGCAGAGAGTTCAACTGCTGAACAGTTCTCAGAGTCAGGAAGTTCTTCCTAATGTTCAGGTGGAATCTGCTTTCCAATAGTTTGAAGTCATTGTTCCGTGTCCTAGTCTCCAGAAAACAAGCTTGCTCCTTCCTCCCTATGACTTCCCTCACATATTTATACATGGCTATCATATTTCATCTAAGCCTTCTCTTCTGAAGGTTAAACATGACCAGCTCTTTAAGCCACTCCTCATAGGGCTTGTTCTCCAGACATCTGATCATCTGGATCGCCCTCATCTGGACACATTCCAGCTTGTCAACATCTCCTTTCAATTCTGGTGCCCAGAATTCGACACAGTATTCCAGGTGTGGATGACCAAGGCAGAATAGAGGGGTAGCATGACTTCCCTGAATCTAGACACTATACTATTTATATGCAAGCCAAAATCCCATTGGCTTTTTTGCCGGTTCATGACATTGTTGGCTCACATTTAGCTTGTTGACTATGAGGACTCCAAGGTTTTTTCACACGTACTGCTGTTGAGCCAGGCGTCCCCCATTCTTGCATTTCATTTTTTCTCCTAAGTGGAATATCTAGCATTTGTCACTGTTGAACTTCATTTTGTTAGTTTTGGCCCATCTCTCTAATCTGTTCAGATCCTTTTGAATTCTGCTCCTGTCTTCTAAGGTATTGGCTACCCCTTCCAATTTGGTGTCGTCTGCAAACTTGATGATCGTGCCTTCTAACCCTTCTTCTAAGTGACTAATAAAGATGTTGAACAGGACCAGTCCCAGGACGGAACCTTGTGGCACTCCACTCATCACTTCTTTCCAGGATGAAGAGGAAACATTGGTGAGCACCCTCTCGGTTCGTTCGCTTAACCAATTACAGATCCACCTAACCGTAGTTTTGCCAAGTCCACATTTGACTAGTTTGTTTGCCAGAAGGTCATGGGGGACCTTGCTGAAGGCTTTACTGGAATCCAGATATGCTACATCCACAGCATTCCCAGCACCTACCCAGCTTGTAACTCTATTGAAAAAAAAGATCACATTAGTCTGGCATGACTTGTTTATGTTCTTATTTACTCTTGTTCCACTATGTTGTGTATGGGTAAATTCAGTTTGAGCGTTTTACTCCTGAATGCTTCTGTTTGTTATTTTGGGCTCCCTTCTTTGTTTTTCAGAGAAAAGAGGGAAATGTAAACTCCCAGTTAAGAATTGCAATGTCCCTCCCTTCTGAACAAAGAAACTGCTTGTTCAGAAGAAATTCACCACTGCTTATAAAAAAGAGCTGCACTATGATATCTGAGGCAAATGTAATCACATCCTCTGGCTTTGAAGCACCTCAAAGTATTGCATATTCTCTCCAGCAAAGAAAACAATGTGGCTCACAAGGGATTACTTTTTAAGTTTCCAAATGTAGAATGGCCCTGCCAGTTGATTAACAGGCATAGAAACAACTGTAAAAGCAATTTCCACCAGTCTATATAACCAGGAAGAGAGAAAACCTGGACAAATACTGGGCCATTCAGTAAAGTATCAATAAGTGGATTTGCTGGTAGAATCCGTCCTCTCAACTTTCACTTTATGAAGGATATGAATCACTTAGATTTCAAACGTATCATTACAAAAATTATGTTTTTGCACATAGAAATAAGAAGCGTAATTTGCTGCAATTAAAAAAACTAACATGGAACACTGGAAATAACACTATGTAACAACATTTGAAAAATATTCTATTCCTGGTTTGAAAGTGTCATTCCTGTTTATTTTTGCAGTGCTAACTTTGAAAGCAGGTGTTATACTCCAAAAACTTCATTTTTGTGCCCCCCACAGACTATGTTGAATTGATTCAGACTATGAGATATTCACTGAAAATCTATAGCAAAGTGTGCTGCAGGATGTCCTGCAGAAACAAAGTTTTTGCAGTTCAATAAACTTTGCCATGTTTTTATGATCGAACCAGTTAGGAAATGACATTTATAACCCAGAAACAAAAATCATGTTACATAGTGTAATTTTTTGTTCAACACTGTCCAGATGGTCACAGATTCCACGTATTAAAGTATACAGTTTCTTCAGTGATGATCATAACCTTTCAATGTTTATTATAAAAAACAAATTATATCATTACGGTTTATTAGTACATATTTACAATTATTTAATTTAAACTTGATTTTAATAATATTTAAATATAGGATTATAAATTTGGATTTAAGCTCCCAAAATTCCCAGTCAGTTTAGCAGCTGTTAGGAATTGTGAGGGCTGAAATCCAAAACACCTGGAGGACTACAGGTTGAGAACCACTGATATAGGCCACCATTTAGTCTCTTGCCTCCAAAAGAAGCTTGTTACTGCATTTCCAGTTTCTTATATTGATCTTTAAAAATGAGGTTTAGAGAAAATCTCCACATATCCCTGTTTTTCTTCAGTTCCAACATTTGCAAAGGGTTCATAATGGCTTCCCTCTGCTTTGGAATTCCTTTGCAAATGCTCTATCACAAGACATTTCACCCAATGACACACACTTCCTCAATGACACTCTCCACCATTCTCTTCCAATCAAAATCTGCCTCCATTTAAATACTACCCTCCTGACAAGGCATCCAGCCCACACATATCTATAATTTTCTAGATCTTCTCCCCTGAAGCCACTTTATTTTTCGCCCAGCTTTTTCATCATCCTGAACACTTCACATTTTGAGAACACAATTCTGGGAAGAAACAGAGAGGCTCTCAGTGGAGAATGAGAATCTATAATACTTGTCTCCACAAGATTTCCACCATGGTTTGTTCTTCATGCAGGAACCAGTCCTGACTCAAGTCATCCAATTCAGGCTGAAGAGCTCTACATGTTGATGTTAAGAGGTTGCATTTACCTTAGGATTTCATTTGAGACCACATTCTTTAAGAAAACAAAATTGTACTATAGCTGATATAGAAACTTAGTTTAGATTTAAAAATCCAATTATGTATGAGCCCTGCAGGATAATTCATCCATTATAACTGAAGATGGAAAATTGAGACTCTAAATGCTAATGAATAAAAAACCATCACCCAAATGCTTTAAGCAGAACATCAAATAAAGTCCTGTCTAGCTTTCCATCTTCTGGAAGAGTAAGAGTAAGACACCAATTCCCAAGCACCTGCAAACTGGCATAATATAAAAATGAACAGAAATGTTCCCAGTAAAGTGTTAGGTCTAGGATTTTGGATCATACAATTCATCACGTTCCCAACACCGAGCCAGTTTATTTTGAAGAGGGGTTAATGCGGGAGCAGAAGATGCAGTGGTTAAAATGACCCAACATCCCCAAAGAAATGATATGAAAAAACAAGGACACTTGGTTTAAAGTTAGTAGTCAAATTTTCCAAGGACGTCCATTTTCTTTAATACTAAATAGCCAAATGTATGTTTTTATTGACCTCCTTGATCTAACACTTAAGTTCACCGACATTATCCAAATTAGTGTTTATTATTATTTTTGGACTGTAACGTCACTTGGTTCTTGGCTACTAACCTTTCATGTTACTCTTGGATTTGTCAGTTTGCTTGCCTGTGGGGGTTTGGGCCTGTTGCCCCTGCCCACTGGAAGAGGCTGCCTGCTGTGCTGCTTTCTGCTTTAACATTGTCCAGTCAAATGTGTAGTCATACTGGTGATTCAAGGTCCTAGGGAAAGAGAGAGGAAAGTGCCAAACCAAATTTCCACTGCAACACAAAACACACATTACTTTTATATACCAAGCAGGTTTTACTCAAACTAAAAAATAGGTAAGCTAAGTGGAAGTACTTTTCAAGACAAATATGATTTTACTTAAGTTAATAAAACATATCATAGACATTTAGTAACCACTTCAGAACACTATAATTCTAAACACTTATGAGTTATTCATATCTGATATGTTTGTTAAAATGTATATGGCTATTTTTCACTCAAATACTGACCTGAAAAGGATACGGAATAACTGCCTCAGATACATATAATCAGGAGCCTCTTCAAAGCGCAGTCCACGACAGTAGTTCAGATACATTGCAAATTCTGCAGGAAATCCCTGTGAACAGAAGCATTCAGACCATGACTTAAAGGTAGGCTGCCCTCTAGATCGTAATTCCAGAAAGCATTAAACATAATGTAAAAGTATTTTTTCAAAAAGCAGAGAGAACAAAGAAAATTAATGCAAGGTAGTCGAATCATCACTGGCGGAATATCACTATTAATACATGGAATCCAACGCCTAATGTAACAATAATAAATTCACAGAATGCCTAAGATTTATTTGCTGCTTTAGTAAAGAAAATGCTGTCTGTTGCCAAGACAGTTTACCATTTTGAAAATATGGTTTAATAAGCTTACCTTACACAAAACTTCAACAGGAGTAGACATCTTCTTTTCACTAATCTTTTCATACTTCTGCTTCTTTGTTGCAGCCTGTGGAACATGTGGATCAATGTAAGTGACACAAGGATAGTTGCAATATCAGATAGGCTGTGACTTAGAAGGCAAAAGGCTTTGTATGAAAACCCCAAGTTCGGAGTTTAATGTGGAGTTCATCAAGATCATTCTGATTTCAAATTTTTGAATAAAACTGCAGTCTAGCACCTGAATCACGTAGTTATCACCTGTGGCTGTTGTCTGTTGCTTACTAAAGACAGGCTACTAACACAACTGTCTTACAGTATGCACCATTTAAAGGTTACAAAATGAGACTGCACCAGAAGACATGTATTTCCAAGAGAAAATGCTGTTGTCTAACATCTCGTAACTATAGCTAATTACCTGGATTATGTAATTTGCATATCAGACTGACAACTTTTATCACTTATGGTGTTTTGCGTTAATTTTTAGTTTTATCTTAATTTTGTATGTCATGTATGTTTATATTATCTAATATGCTTTATTTCATGGTTGTAAGCCACTCCAAGTCCATTTTTGGGAGATGGGGTGGAATATAAATAAAGGTGTGTGTGTGTATCTCACCAGTATATGTTCCTGCCTCACTTTCTACACCACTCTAACGTTTTCCAAGTGTAAACCTGTATTTTTAATAAGACCTACAGTAGGCTTCAATTGACAGATATGGCTATTCCATTTGACAAATCCTAAAAATGGAGATTTAATCTTTCCTCCTATACTTAAATCTAAATGGAATTAAATGACAGAAATACTGTGTATATTTTCTGGCAGCATTTCACAACCTGAAGCTTCTGGGACTTGGCAACAAGTTAGCAAAACTGGAATGACAGATGTACAATAGTTTGATTGGCCAATTGTTTACTATGATTCTTTCAAAACAATAGGAACAACCAGTAAGATCTTAAAAGATTACCTTTAATCCTTGCCATGGCAGGCTGGTTCTGTTAAAGTACATCAGTACGTATCCTAGTGACTCCATATCATCTCGACGACTGTAAAGAAAAATGCTATTATATTAGCCTGCTAAAAATTCATGGCAGCTTTTATAGGGTGTCTTAACAAAGTAGGTTGCTAGTGTTTCAAGTAAAAGTTCCAACTTGTGAGATTAAACAGCAAGAATTACAAAGGGAAACAAATAAACTTTATGGCAGACAAGTTTCAGAATTATGAATTATAAATATTTTAATTAGATTTTTAGAACAGATTGATCTATACACCTGAAGCTTTAGATCTCAAGGATTACAAAGAAGAACTCTGCTGAGCAAAATGAAGCAACAATAGCATGATGCTTTAGCATTGCTGACTGCAATGCTCATAAATGAAAGGTACCAGGAGGCACATCTAAACATTCTAGAGGCAACAGTGTAACTATCACAAGATCTGAGCTGTGAGCAATTTCATCATTTCTGATGATTCATAGAGATCTGCCTAGCATTAGAGGACATTACTCAACTATCTTCCCAGAAGGAAGAATGCTGAAATTAAATTATGAGACCCAGAGTAGTTTCTTTTTACATAAAAAGACTTAAAGGAACCCAGTGGCGTCTTTGAAGCTGTGGATAAAGGAATTTATAGAATAACATTTAGAGGACTATGGCCCATTTTATTAGTTGCATTTAATGAAGTCGACTGCTAGATTATTTTCTGCAGTACCTCTTAATGGTGCTACTTGATTTTTTTGTAAGTACAGTTTTAACATAAAACAAGAACACTCCTTATTCAAAACATTTATACAGTTTGAGCAAAGCAGATATCTATACACAAGCACAAAAAACGACTACTACAATAATGAGACCAAACAGAATCATTGCTTTGGAATGTTACATGTACCAAAATAATTACAGATCTTTCATGTATACGCGAGGGTTCAACTTTATACTATAGGCAATATTTAAGCCATTTTCATTTCTTAGACACAGAACTGGATATTTATTAGGACAAGATTCATTACAAAATACATGTATACAATTCTAGTATCAAAATACAAACTGCTTGGATATTTACCTCTGCTCAATGCCAAGATGTGCATTAATACTGGCATATCTTGCAGTACCAGTGAGATTTTTGTCTTCTCTATATGGTATGTGTTGTCTTGTCCTGTTGTCCCGGTATTTTTTGGCCAACCCAAAATCAATAAGGAATAACTTTAAAAAGAAGAAGGAACAAGTTATAGTTTCCAAACAGTGTTAGGAACCTGCACATATGTACTGGAGGTACACATTCAAAATCTAACAATATAGGTTTGCTTATAATTAAACCAAGGAAAGGACTGTCATAATTCATAGGAACTGACTCAAACAAAGAATATTAAAATATCCCTCTTTTGCATTTGATTAAGCAGAAACTTGAGTAACTTATTCAGAATGAGATCTAGTTTCAAATATAGCTATTATATCAATCTATAGAAACAGCAATTAAGCCATGTTTTTTTTAAAGTGCACAAATTTTAGCTACTAAGAAAAAGGCAACATTTATGTAACTGTACTTTGCCATTAGGCTCTTAAATCATTTTTTCTTTAGTGTCATTTACTTATTAGCTAGTAACAACGCTTATTATTTTCATCTTTTTTCAATATGATTGTGTAGTGCTTTTGTTATTATGAAAGAGTATCTTTATAGTAGAATTTAACCTGTGATTGCCACATTATAAACATTTAACTCTCTTTCCCATATTTACCAAGCATTGGAGAAAGACATTTCTCAGGTTCAGTTCAACTGCTCAGTCATAGACATTTAACATCAAATATAACTCAGTCTGTCACAGTTATATGAAGAAAATGCTAAGACTTGGATTATATAGTTGGACAGTTTAAGAAATATACCCTAGGTGTATTGGCACATTCTTGTGATAGACTTTGTAATCAATAACAGTAAATGGATTACAGAGTGAAGAGAAAATAAGTCAGCTACAAAGAGTAAACATTTGACAAGCAAATTCTATTATAAAAATTGGGCATTTAAAGGAAGGTACCATTTCTTTTGCTAAATATAACTACAGTATCTCACACTTCACTCATTCTGTGCATTACTTATCATTTCTATTTCAGGTAACGAAAAATATGATTAAGTCCAGTTAGGTAAACATGCCATTTCCCTAAAAGGCTGACTGCAATACAACAACCCAGACAACTATGAATAAATGCTTGTATGTGTGTGTGTGTGTGCGCGCGCAAGGTGTGGAAAATCATCTACAGAAAAATGTAAAACTAGTGGTATACAGGCACAGATTTAGTTACTGCATTCATTCTCATGTCTATGCAACATAAGATGGGGAACAAGCTGAATTCAAATTAAACAGTTGCAGCTAAACTCTATCAAAGGACTAGACTTCTTGGTAAGGAGTTATAATGTACCAGTTTAAATCCAATGTGACAACCAAAGTCACTTTACAGGTACAGATGTGAGGGCTTGGACCAAGGAATGGACTGTCCAATGGATATATCACATCCTTCATCATCCAAAACCAGCTGGATGGATTGTTCAAATGAATAAGTTGTTAAAACAAACAAAAAATAAAGCAATTATCTCCAGATCATTTTTAAAAGGTGATTTGGGGCAACCTGCCTAAAATTTGTACTGCAATGCATTTCTCTGTGCCTGATACCAATTTAACAAAAAAAAAAAATAAATAGAGAAAGCAAACTAGTGTTTATGACTGCTGAATGAAATTGCTGGGAGGATATTGGTTTTAGCTCAGTGACACCCTCCTTAGTTCCCACAGGATTTAAAATTAACTCAACAGCACAAGGGCTGTGGATTATTATTGTTGTTTATTTATTTCCCACTTTTTTCTCCATAAGGAGACTAAAGGCAGCTAATATTAAAAGATTACAATACAACTTAAAATATTAAAAGAGTATTAAAAACAATTCAGATTGTATCAATAAAAACATATCAAACCGCAGCGGCCTCTGACATGATCTTAAAAACCTCATTTTTTAAAACCCTGTCTGAATAAAAAGTATACATGTCCAGAATAAATGATAAGACTTGGCTCAAACCGATAAAGACATGAGCAGGCTGAATTAGTTTGAGTTACACAAGACCTTTACCACTAGTGGGGCATTATTTCAGGTTAAACTCTGCCCCCCTCCCCAAATGAAAAATATGCTAAATGTGACATCACATAGTATAATTATCTCCCTTTGCATTAAAAGTTAAATGATCATATATAAAGGTACAGACTACCATATGGCCAAACAAGACCAACAGAATTCAGGGTTTGGAGAGAAAAGTGTGTATACCATAGAATGAAATGTTGGGACAACATTGCAGAAGACCTTTGCAGAACATATTTCAAATTCAAAATTAATTAGGAAAGTATGGCCTTGGAGTGCAGGAGGATGTTCTTCAATTAGTAAGATTGGCCTCTGTCCACTCATTTGGCTTCTTAGCTGCTGTCTACTTGCGTGGCTTATCTGACTAATTAAATAGTGCAAAATTGTTTAATATTTGCATATCGGGGAGACAGAACATCTAAACAAAAGAAAGTGGTTAATTACTTGAGATAGTTATAAAAACCATGACAATTTGGCCAAACACTGAACTTCAATGCAGCCCAAGACCAGGAAAGATTCTACAGAAATACCCAAGGGAATTCCTTGCCATCACTTTAGGCATTTCTGACAGCCTGGTTGACTTGCTAGGTTTTATTTATTTCTTTGACGCTTTTGTCTTTGGTGCCTTGTCTACTTCTTAAGAAAATATTATAATCTTAACTACTTGTGTACTACCTGCCTCTGAATTTAAAAAGATTGTCTTTGACTGAACAAGGTGATGGTTTAAAAATATCTGGTTACTTAAACAAGTCAATTAATCAATTTATAGTTTGCATAGCTAGCTCATTTAACTAAATGGAGTTCATTAACCACACCCTTTGGTTTGTGTTGAATCAAAGATTAAGTAACAGCAAAACTGCTTATGTCTTCTTCCCACAATGAAAGAGGAAAGGCAGGGAATGCATGAATTTGGGTTCGTTTTTATTCCTACTCTTGTACACAGCAGTAAACCCATTTAATGCTATCTGCAAGCAGCTGACAGCAGCTTCACAAATAAGCTAGATAGCACCATTTCAATTAGATGCTAATGCCAATCAAATAAGAGGCTTCATATAAGAAAATACTATCACTCCACTTACTGAATTCTGAAAACCAAGAGCCTCCAAAGGGGAAGATTCAGCCTTAATAAGCAAAGAAGAAATCTGCTCAAGACATCTTGTGCCAATTAACTAGAATATACCAAAGTTTTAAGGATTCAAAACTACTTGAGCTGTATTCTGTTAAAAGGCACTACTGAAAACAAATTCATCCTTGATGGATATTTGGATACAGAATAATATACAAAGCAAGATCTATAGCAACTCATCTGTTTCCTCTTGGAAGAAGTTTTTTTTTCAAATAACACATTGTCAACATACACATGGATTTTTTTCCCCAGAACCTCTACCATTCAGATACAGGCTATGCATATTTATGCGATCCTTCATGGCACTCTTGACATTGTACTTTAAAGCATAGGACTATTCCTCAAGGTCTAAGACAAACCACTTGAGTAGTTAAATGATACCCAATATTATTCACATTTAAATGGACAAAAAATATTAATTTTAAACACACGCTGTAAGAAAACATCTTAGTAATGTTACATGTTTGCCAAGTATGTCTGAATAATGCCAACATAAGGTGCTTTTTGCAAGTTTACATGTTTTCCGAAACAAAACAAAAAAGCATATGAGTTTGGGATTGAGGTTGGAATAGGAGACAGTTCAGACCTGGTTTAATCCTGAGAAAGATGGATCCTGAGAAGTACTAACAGTCATGCTTCTTTTCCTCTTCCCCACTGGAGATTCTAAACACTGAACAAACAATAGAGGGTGGCAGTGCATCAAACAGTATTGCTTACATTGCAACAATGGCTGGCGCAGACAGGCAACACCGAGGCGTTAGAGAAAGAATAGGGTAGCCAAATGCCATCCTTCTTCCACCAAGCACTACAGTTTTCCAGAGGATATACTGTTATCAGAAAAAAATCTGATGACGTGGCAGGATAAATTTTGAGCATGAGCCACTTAAAATAACACTGCCTTGTACAGGGATAGCAATGGCAATATTTGGCTTTAAACAAAAAGGAAATTTGGATTTTAAGGACAAAGGTTTCCTTTGGCTCCACAAACTGCCCTTCCCCCAAACAACACATAGAAAGTAAATCTTCAGTAAGGAAGAGGTAGAAGGCATTTAGTCACCTTAAGTTCACTTTCATAAGCATGCAGGGCATATTCTAGCAGAGCTCAAAGATTATCTTATGCTCGGAAAGTAATCACTCCAAAAGTGTCAAATTAATTTGCAAAATTAAAAACTCCAATTTTAATCACTACATTTTAAGTTAATTTTAATGAAAAATGTGACTGGAACAAGATTGCCATAACACCCTACATCTAGCTAGTATGACCCCACACAGAAGACTAGAATTCACTAGTTTTTGCTATAAGAAAACTACATAAAAAGGACCAAAATGTCCTTTAAAAGGAATTGCTATTGAAAAAGGCATTAAGTGAAAATCTGTTTAAAATTTTCTTCAACTAAATAAAGGATTTTACACTCTGATATCTGGCATTTATTCGAATATTAAACAGAAACCAGATGACCACTATTTTGGTCTTTGCCACTGACCCTAACTGGCTTCCTGGGAATAAAAAACATGATCCTCATTTTATTTCTTCCAGTGTGATGCTAAGAAGGGCACAACAATATTTTCCAGGCCACTTTCCCATTTCAAAGAAAAAAAAAGGCATTGCAATGCCAACCTAGCATGACGATCAGAAGTAGGGAGAAAGGGCCCTCAAAGAAGAGAAAAATCAGAATGAAACTACGTTAAATTCTTCTAACTATACTTTCTTTTCCTGTAAGAAAGTTAAAGAACTGTTTTTTAAGGAAAAAGAATGCTACAGTATGAAATTTATCGATAAACAAAGTTTAGCAGATTGAAGACTGTAGAAAGGCATTTTACCTTTTAAAATTGATACACTGAACTCCTTCATAACAGAATTCAACAGGTTGTGGTTGGCTGGTTAGGTTTTGTTCTAAAACAACGGCCCCAAGTTGGCATTCATACAGGCAAACAAAGGTAACATTTTATAGCTAATAGTGTCTAAAGAGTTAAACGTTGATGGTCTATAAAGAACTCAGGTGGGAATCTTGCTCCCAGTACGTGAATCAATCACATACAGTTGCCCTGTACTGGAGAATTTCTGCTTAACAGCATGCTTAATGCATTGCCAATGCTGCCTGTCTGCCCGAGCTCAACATTAAAGAATAGCAAATTTTATTCCCACAAGCTAATCAAGATATTTTCCAATAAACGTTTCAGAAAGAAACATGCATCTCTAGCTATATTAAAGAATTAGCCCCCTCTGCCCACACTTAAAATCCAGTAAAATGTTAACAGTAGTTTAATTCTCCAACTGTTAATCTACATCTATTAATAACTGCATTCTGAACTTCCACAGGCTCATGAAGGCACAGGAAGCAGTTAGGCCAACAGGCATATGTTATTAGAAGCCAATGGTTTTGGTTACAGTCAATTTTTAAAACCCAGGTAACTGCTAGCTGAGGCTTCACCATGCTAACATAAATGCAGTAGACAATAAGAAATTGCAGTTTATGGTAAGTTGTGCTACTGTATTTTCTTTGATTCTCAATAATCAGTTGTATTATTCAATAGACTTAGTTTGGCTAGTCAATCAGGAGTCAATTATGAAGAATAGTAATTTGTATAATTAAGATCTGGTCAAAGGGTGGACCATAGCTCATTTCTGCATGCAGCAGTAGAAATGCAATTCCGGAGTCTTGCCAAACATGACAAACTTAGCAATCACATGATCAATTCAAACTGCACAGCATTTCCATGAACTGCCATTTTCAGAAGCATTATGTTTTGTTTCTCCATGCAATAAATATTACACTAACCTTATTACAGTGACGCCCGATACCCATTAAGAAGTTATCTGGCTTAATGTCTCTGTGTATAAAATTCTTTGTATGCACATATTCAATTCTACTGATCATCTGTAAACAGAAAAAATGGTCAAGATATCAAAGTTTTGGAAGACATTGTAGTTTAAGCATATATTAATAACATGTTGAGCAGTAACCTACAACATAAAAAGCAAGAACAGCAAAATACTTATAAGCAGTCAAATCTAATAAATAAAAACTACTACTGATAAAGTTATCTGAAAAGCCACATTCCTCTAAATGAACTAGCTTAGTCTTCATGTTGAAAGAGCTCAACATAGTTAATAGTATGGAACAATGTAGTATCGCTGTGATATCCACTGTGTGAAATGATCTCCCCACTGAATTCGACACTCCCTGAACAATTATTCTGAGCACTAAATCTAAACTGACTTACATTTTTAAGTAGCAGCAATTCAACATTCAAATTGTCTTAAGCAGGAAAGAACCTCACTTCTACCTTGCTCTCACTGATATCTCAGGAAAACTGTTCCTAATTACTTCACTACCATGACAATGATAAAGGAAGCTGTACCAAATATTCATTTAAAGGTTCATAAATCTGAAGGTTACCAACATGGTTCTTTTGGTTAATTTCCCACAAGATCCTTGGAACTACTGGAGCCATTACTTAACACAAAATGCCATGCCTGAAATGCCGGCTATGTAGCAGTCAGTATTTCCAATGGTAGTTCTCACAGTAAATGTGCAACTGCCAACTGGAATTTAAGAGTGTATGCAAACCATTTTGGAAACAAATAAGTATCCAATGGTTGATTTATATCCTGCCTTTTTGCCTGACCAGGATAGCTGGAAATAAAACTGAATGAAACAAATATAATTCACTATAAAACATGTTCAAGGACAAAAGAATACCACCTTCCAGTTAAAAACCTTTCCACACAAATGTCAGCTGCCAAAGGCCTGCTTCAATTTTTCTGAAGCAAGTTGTACTCTAAATACAAGAATCTATGCCTTTGTAGATGTCTGCACTATGTAAGATTGCAGTTCGATATCTTTATATAAACATGTTGACCATGCTGAAAGTCTATATGAATGTAGTAGACACTGGTGTTTCTAATTTCACTTGCTTTCATTTTACTACCAATAAATTGGGATATACCATGCATACCCATGTATAAGTGGATTTTATTTTGACAAAAAGTCACCCCAGAAAACCTGGGTCAATTTATACATGGATTAGGGGCCACCACAAAGAGGCAGAGGCAAACAACTCCCATGCAGTACCTCTTCCTAGCCAAAGCAGAGGAATATAAGTTCCCTCCTTGTTCATTTTGTCAGTCCAACTGGAGTTCAGTAGCAATACGGTAGAGACATATTTGCGATGGAGTGAAGCAACAACCGCCATTTTTTGTATTTATTTATTTGCCATATTTATATCCCGCCCTTCTCAACCAGGAAGGGGACTCAGGGCGGTGCACATAACATGCACAATTCAATGCCCTACATTACATACAATACATATCCAGTAAATGAAAACACATACATTAAAACACCCACTAAAACATATAGACATTTAAACATACTCCAATTTCGTAGTCCGGGCCATTCCAGTTATCATTGCACCATATAGTTCCTAGTTGAAAGACAGTGGTGCTAATTTTAAACTCAAAATGGGGTCACAGCAGAGAAACATATACATTTAAGTCCCTTAGTTAACATGGCCACCACCACCAACACAGTCCCTCTGCAGAGAACCTTATGGACTAAATCTATGACTTAAAATGGCCACCACTGCTTCACTCATCTTAAGGGCCCCAAACCTCTTGCTGCTGCTCTCCATTCGGGCTCACAAAGAAGGTGAGGAAGGAGGGAGGGCTGCCTCTTTATCCAGTCTAGACAAGGGAGGGATGATGGGGTGAAAATTTTGTGCCTCTGCCTCTTCTCAATGCCTTTGTGCTGGATCCCTAAAAGAGGGAGGTTGCTGTCCTTAATCTTTTTCTTCCCCTCGCCTCATGTTGTATTCACATTCTTTTTCCTCATCTGTATTTGTAGAGATGTATTTTTTAAAAAAAATATATATCAGTAATGAAATTAATCACCCTTCCCAATTGCAATCCTTCAAATTAACAGATCCTCTCCTTAAGTATATTTCCTTTCGGCATTTTTTAAAAGGAGAAGAATATATTTTTTGCTATATCCTCCTTTTATTCCCAAATCAGCCACAGGTCATAGCAATAACTTTGTCCCAAGCTTGTCCTCAACTTATATTGAGTATACATGTTAAGTCTGCAATAATACTTTGGCTTTGGCAGTCTCACGGTAGTTCTCCTCTCCAGAGGCAGACAGAATCTTACAACTTCCTCCAGAGGAAACAGCCTGCAAACATGAAGCCAAAACTAATAAATTTACCTGTATAGCTACATTAAATATTTTCTGTACTACTCTTGTGTCGTGCACCTAAGTTGCCTCTATCTTTTCCTTTGTTGCTTCTATCTGGGTCAAATATTCACTAGAGTACATTTAATATCAAGCTGTGCTGTCTGACCTACTTGGAAGAATGAAGTAAATCTAACTTTAAGGCACTGCAGTATTTCCTGATAAAACATTTGCAGCCATACATACCTGGTCTGCTAACATAAGTACTGTTTTCATTGTGAACCTGCGAGAACAGAAATTGAAGAGATCTTCAAGGCTTGGTCCAAGAAGGTCCATGACTAGAACATTGTAATCTTTCTCTTGACCATACCACCTGAGAAGAAGAGGAAACTGTTAGGATTCTTTCACTATTCCTATAATAGGCCTACAATTCATAATTTCAGTTATGAGATATAATTTTATTAATATTTCTATGAGTACCACTTGCACAGTTTGACCTTTCAGTATTATGTTTAAAATCATGGTTTAAGAAAAAGTGACATAATGGCATATGGTGCACCAGGGTTAGTGTAAAGTTCTGGCACTGTCAAGCAACTGCTCAGGTCGATGATGTTGCTACATGATCACTTGTCCACTTTAAACATTTAAAAAGCAACAAGAGAAAAGAGAAAATAGGCATACAGATATTTATGGAACAACAACTAAGCTATTCTTACTACACAGTAGTCTTATTGAAAAGAAACAGCAATAAGAGGTTACAAATCTCTGAATGTTGTATATACTCCTGTATAAGTTGACCTTATGAATAAGTTGAGAGGAGGTTTTGGGGTCAAAATTATGGATTTTGATATAGCCCCTGGATAAGTTGATGGTCATTCTGCAGAGGGCATAACAGCCAACGCAACCTCAAGGGGGCTAATTGTACCACTATTTTCCCACTAAGGCATTCAAAGCTAAAAAATGCACCATGGGAGAGAGCATGCAGGCAATCACCAGTACTCTGATAACACAGTGGATCATTTTCTGATAAAATATAAGGTACAATACCCACAATGACACGTGAATAAATGCGGTCAGATTTTTGGAGTTGATTTTTGCATGAAAATTTTTACTCTATGAGCATATATAGTCCTTTATCATTCTAGGTGGTTTTACTAGCTCAGTCCAGAGACAAGTTGCTGAAGAATAGCAGTAACTATTAGCATCTTACTCTTCCTTCCCTTTCTGAAATCCAATGAGATTGCAGCTCACAGTCTCAATTTAAACGAAATACAGCAACACACACACAAAAAGGTTGTTGTTTATTCGTTCAGTCGCTTCCGACTCCTAGTGACCTCATGGACCAGCCCACACCAGAGCTCCCTGTCGGCCGTGGACACCGCCAACTCCTTCAAAGTCAAGCCAGTCACTTCACACACACAAAAGAGGTAATGGTATTTAATTAAATATTGGATTTATTTAACTTTTAACAATCCTGTAAACTAAGGATGATGTATTCAGTATGTAAAATTTAAGACACCACTGAAGACCCATATCTTCTGGCAAGCCTACCTGGTCAATTTAAAGTCGTGAATTTTAATCTGCATTTTATCAGTGGACTTGAACTTGTATTTTAACTGTCTATCTAGTTGTATATCTTTTAATAGTACTTTATCTCTTGTTTTAAAGATGATGTATACCGCCCCAAGCCATATGGAAAAAGTGGGTAATAGATTGAAGACGACAACGACGATTATTATTTAATACAACCACTTTCAGGAAGTGATCTCATATGATCATCCAACAGTCTTAAGGGATTTCAGTCTTTCTCTAATATTCTTTAAGTGAAAGCATTTGGTGACCTCAGTCACACTTACACTTCAGGGTCACTTACCACATACATTTACTTGTAGCTCAAAGTGTTATGAACATAATATTTTAACCTAGGCAAAGAAACCTAGAAGAAAAGCGAAGAAACCCTGCAGGGGGTATACATTGTGCTTAGGCAAACACTGAGTCTATCCAAGGGTCCAACCATCCATCATGATCTGTACTCTCTCCAGGCTAGTGATACCCCCCCCCCCCCAAACCTCTGAGAATATATGCTAGTACCCATTTCCTTAAATGTGGGAGACGTAGCACTTCAAACTCCTAGCACTTTCAACATTCACACTTGCCTCAAGCAGATAAGAGTTCTTTCTCCCACCCTGGACATTCCACAGCTATATAAACCTCACTTGCCTAGTTTCCAACTGAACTCACAACCTCTGAGGATGCCTGCCATAGATTTGGGCAAAACGCCAGGAGAGAATGCTTCTGGAACATGGCCACACAGCCCGGAAAAACTCACAGCAACCCATAAGCTAAGTCAAAGTTTTAACATTAGTAAATGGCATAGATCAAATAAATGTTTTAAATTTTCTTAAGTATTGGCATGAATTTCAAATACAGAATCTTCAATATGAGCATCATTAAACTATGACTTAGCTAAAGAAGCAGATTTATTTATTATTTATTTATTTACTTCATTTGTATACCGCCATTCTCAGCCATAAGGCAACTCATAGCGGTTTACAACAAGCAAAAACAAGGCAAACAATCAAGGCAAAAATTCAATGCGGCATCAACAAGGTACTTAAAAACAGTTAACACAGAAACAAACACAGATCTGTTTTGAAACTGCACTAAAATTTGTAACAAATGATGACATTATTTTTGTTTTAAATATATAATTTCATTTTACATAATTAGGAAAGAGCTCTATCTTACAAGATGGAAAATGTATGCAAATGCTGACACCAAAACACAAGGAAGGATAAGAATGTGATATTAGCATCCTTTACAAAAGGGATGGGCAACTATGTAAGGCTGAAGACCCACATTAGCCCACAAGGAGTCCTTTGAGGGTTGTAGCCCCCCCCCATTAAAAATTATGACACAACAGGTCAAAATATGGTTTTGATAATTATCAGTATTCTTCAAGTGGGGCTTTCAAGTACCAATTTGCTCGACACATCTTGAATTTAACCTGAGAAGGGAAGAAATGGTATAGGACTGAAACAACGGAAGACATGCTGTATCTATACCACCACTTCCAAACTTTTTTCTAAGGTAACGAGGCTGTAAATTCTTCAGATCAGAAATCCCATATGAAGTATCTTCTCATCTGAATGCATGAGCTGTTTTTAGTCAGGGATAGGAACTGAGTAGTCCTCAGAAGGTAGCTTGTTTGCAATTCCCTTCAGTCCTTGCCTGTGCAGACAATGGTGAAAAATGCCGAAAGCTACAATCCATTACCATCTGGAGTGCTACACAATTCCAAATGTAAGAAAAAGTTAGTCCCCACTAATTAACATGCTTAACTTAAACTCTGTTAACTCAATTCAAACCAAATTCATTCTCTGTAGCACATGAGAACTGTTCTGTGCTGTAAAATGTAAACTAAATCAAGAAACCATCTAATAGAATAAAATAACTTTACTGTCATTGTACAACAAAATTAAATGCTTTCCTCAGCACACATCAAAACACATCACACCCATCCCTTCACACTCCAACCACCACCGCACAGCCCCCAATGTCACATTAATGTGAAACCATGGAGTCCAGTACTCACAGCTCTAAGATAAAAGCTATCTTTCAGTCTGTTTGTCCTTGTATTTGTCTGACAGGCCCCTTCCACACAGCTGAATAAAATCTCACATTTTCTGCTTTGAACTGGAATATGGTGTGTGGACTCAGATAACCCAGTTCAAAGCAGATATTGTGGGATTTTCTGCCTTGATATTCTGGGTTATACGACTGTGTGGAAGTGCCACCAGGTGGTAATAATAATAATATTATTATTAATAATAATAATAAAGAATATGCTGAGTGAGATAAATACTAAATAAAAATATCTTCATTTATATCTTTCCCCATCTCCCGAGAGGGAATTGGGGCAGCTTAAAAAACAGGAGCAATTGATCCTTAAGAATGTTCTGGGCTTTCTTAGGGCTGTGGGACTTATAAAGTTCTTCTAAAGAGGGGAGAAGGCAACCAATGATTCTCTGTGCAGTAGTGGTGATCCTTTGGAGCACCTTCCTATCTGTCACTGTGCAGTTACAAACCATGCGCAGATTAAGCAGATTAGGAGACTCTCTAGTCTCTATAGCACAGCGGTAGAAAACCACCAGCAGTTTTTCATTTAATGGTTGATTTCTTAGAAGTACAATCTCTGTTGGGCTCTCTTAGCCAACACTGCTATATGAGTACACCAGGTCGGATCCTCCTAACAGTGACAGCTAGAAGCTTGTTATAATTTCCAGCTTTTTAAAGTTTTGGAAGGTAAACTTCAATATTTAAAACCAGAAACTACTGTTATAAATTCACTGTAGAGTCAGGCATGCCTAAGTTCACTGGTTTCAAATTGCTTAAACATGTCTAACTCCATGTTGGACTTATGCCAGAGTTGTTTCAGAAACAGATTCTGATTAAATATTCCTCTCAAGGTTTTCTGTAAATGAAATTTATATTATGTAGCTATACTCGCCCCCCACAGTTAACTATCATACTGTGTAGTGATTATACATTATTTAGAGATCAATTATGTAATATTTTTAATCTCCATAGCCAGATTTACTGATAGCTTTTAAATACTGCAGTGTTACAACAGAAGCAGATACTAGATTCCTCCTATTCTACTATCAGAACCTCTTTAAAGTAGTCTGAAAGAGGATATACATAACACTTCCAATTACTATGAATAAACTGGACAGTTATATGTTTTTTTTCATCATTTCTTCTGTTTCTGGATAATACTAACATACACAGGATGCTGACTTATACTAGTTCGGACTATTTGCCCAATTAGTCCAATAATTCCTAGTCTAACTGACAATAACTCTTCAAGCGACATTTTTCACATTGCACGTTACCTGATCTTTTCAATAAAAGATGTCAAAGATTAAATCTGTTGCCTTCTACACACAAAAGAGATGCTTTGGAAGAGCTAGAGTAATGTCGAACACGCCATTCTCAGGTCCATTTTTCTGACCTATTACAATCATTATATCTTCTATTTTGAACTATTTGTTTTTCCCCCTATTTTTACAACCAGTTGCTGCATTCAGATGTCTTTTGAATGCAGTAACGTTTGGATGCAGTACATCAATTTATACACTTAGGATATACATATATAAGAATTATTTGAAATTAAGTTTTAAGCTTTATAAATGTTCCAAGACTACAAGTTTAAGTGTTAACTCAGTTACAAGAAACACACTATATACTCTATATGCACTACAAACTATATGTCAATGAAGCTAAAGAAAAGGAGAGATAACATTTTTAGTAGTGCTGCTGATCTGGAATAGGAAAAGGAACCGAAAATTGGTTGAGGCATGTGTAGGTTAT